AAAATATCCCTATAAATACATCACATAAGCACCTGGGAGTTACCTTTAGTTGTGACGCAAAATGGAACAATCCTATTGAAAGTATAATTACAAGTGTAAAGAAACACCTTAATGTTCTGCGTAAACTTAAATATCGACTGTCTCGTAAAAATTTAGAAACTCTTTATCTAGTTTTTATTAGACCCATTTTTGAATATGCCACGGAAATGTGGGATAATTGTGGGATATGTTATTCAAATAAATTAGAAAACTTGCAATTGGAAGCCACAAGAATTGTAACAGGTCTACCAATCTTCACTAAAACTGATACTCTGTAATCTGAGGTTGGCTTGGAATCTTTATATGAAAGACGAAGAAGAAGAAAATTACAGATGTTTTATAATATAAATGAAAAACATGCACCTGAGTTCCTGTGTAATATTGTCCCCCATGTATACAAAGTACAACCAACTATCCGTTGCGAAACGGTCAAAATATCATTGTTCCATTTTGTAGACTTTCCCTTACCACTGAATCTTTTATTCCATCAACAATACGAGAATGGAATAAGCTTGACTTAAAAATTCGAAACACCGACTCTATATCTAAATTTAAGAGAGAATTGAAAAATGAAAGTGTTCAGAGTAGAGTTGCGCCGAAATTTTACTTAACAATCTTAATTGGCTTACTGAAAAATTTATTACTATGATACTAAACTATTAACTTGCGGAGACCTTGAACTTTCGAATGAACAAAATCTCCTAATTTTCAAACATGTTCAAGATTTTATTAAAAGGTCTAACAAATTTCTAGTACCTTCATCAAGTGTTATTGCTACCGGCACGGATGATCATCACCATCAAACCTGAGTCATCATCACAGAAAATATGATTTGCTTCTTTTTCTTTTCCTCCTTTTCCATTCTTCTTGTTCTTTTCTTCTTTTTATTTATAGTTCGTATAATATTGAATGAATTTGTTCGCTTTACATGCATGCTCATAATGTTATTATTGTCAGGGGCGTAGCTACCTTCTTACTGAAGTGGAATCATAAACTAAAAGGCGAGGGGTACTGGGGCCTAAGTCCCCCAGTGGGTCCAGGGCAGAGCCTTAGTAGGGGGGCCAGGGGGCGAAGCCCCCCGGAAGCTCCGCATATATAGCGTTTCAAAACAATCACAACCGTAATAAAACCTGTACATTTTTGTTGTGGTTTTTTGGTCAACTATTTGTTAAACTTAGAGTCGAATGAAGACTTAACATTGTCGTTTGCGTTTTTTGAACGCCGTAAGAGCTTTTAAAATCACGGAGATTTGTTCCATATGCTAGTATTTGTATTGAGCAAAGTATGTCTATAAAAAAAACAAACAACAAATCAATCAGATTGAATCGAAGTCTAAAATACGAACTAACCAGCGAAATTGTCATAAACGGACGTACACCTGATATCTAGATTTCATTACGGCAACCTGATTTGAATCTACATAGAAATAGTCATATATTTATTTTCTGACACAACTTGAACAACTTCAGTGCTTAGCGGTCCGTGCTAAGCTGACAAGTTACAAGGGGAAATTTCTGTACTTACTCAATAGACACACTTCCGACAGCAGTAGACCAAATTTCCGCTCTTCCGTGATCAAATAACCTACGTATTATTTTGTTCTTGTCTGGAATATGCATGAAATATTTGCAACTGGATGACTACCAATTAATATAATAAACAAGTTGCTTTCTTTAAAAAAGGAAATGCAATCGTGAATCAAATGCCTGTTTGGTATATAAGATCAGATAATTGTTATAAAGATGCATGATTTTACATCATTTTTTTTAATATAAGATGTAGAAAACTGACATCATGGATTCTTAATGAAACTGCTGTTCAAAATTGGGCATAATTTTCTTTTTTTTAAGAAATCATTTCTCTCTCTCACATCACTCTCTCTTCCGAAAAAATATATACATAGATAACATTACAACTTGAAAATTGGAAGCAACCACTGTATGTTCCATTCTGAGGTGCTGTTTTGGAAATAAGAGGTAGCTTCCTGGCTAAAGTCAACATGTAAATATGAAAACAGTTTTTGTTTTGAAGAAGTTTAAAGAAATGAATCATGATTATTGGCATGCAATTTAAAAATCCCGTTTTTGCAATCTCATTTCCATTGAAAACAGATATTGATTTAAAGAAAAATAATTTGTTACTAAGTTGTGCTATTTTTTGCTTATGAATACAAACGTTTTTGTATCGCCTAATTTGTAAGGATATCGTCCTATTTTTTTCGCCAAAAATGCTCTAGGCCTCTGCCAACTAGATCATCTAAATTCGCTCATGAATACATATTGCCTCAACTCCTTGAAAACAAATTGATGGAATTCCCAGAAACTTGCACTGATTCTTGAAGTTGTGCACCTGCTACTTCAACTTTTCGTCTGATTTTGTGTGTGTGTGTGTTTTAGGGATGGGGTTCACATACCACAAAGAATATCACTCAGTGTGTCTGTAAATCGTTTCATATCAATAGAATTATTGTAAGGACTCAAACGTATATTCATTTATGAACTGTTTCGATATGACATATAATTTCTGCATTTAACACATCTGTAAGGTGCTTTTGAAATTTCGTCGTAATTTCCAGGGTTAACTTGCATTTATTTATAAGATTAAGTTAATAGATGCATCACGTTAAAACCCCTCCCACTCTGTCTGATTGACCAATTCCTATATGTTAACTTTTTCCGTCTCTCTCTCTGTTTTTTTTTTTCTTTTTGTGAAAACGACGTGGATGCACGTGCTGTCGTGCCTCCGGGTAGCTACGCCCCTGATTGTATAAATACTTGAATTGTAATATAAGACTTCATAAGTATGATTTACTTGTGTCTCATCCATTTTGCTGATATTTAGCAAAACAAATATGTTTAAACTAAACTACAATTGTGTTATCTGTATATTGAAAACCGTAAACAGGGAAATTTAAAGTTTGTTTTGATTTAAAGATTTTTCGAAATTTTGATAGCTATGGATACCTTAAATGACATTCTGTTCCGTTCCGTAAAGTACCAATAGCCGGATTTACCACGTTCTGGATAAAGTCCATCTATAAAACTGTATATATCCAATTACATGTACATGTGTTATTCTAAAGAAAGGAAATACTTTGGGGTGAATTTAAAAAGTCTGAAATTGCCACATATGCCTAAAATGAGATCTCTTGTCTAAGCCGAGACAAAAAGAACTGCATGCACTAACAGTTGATACCCACCTCAATTTTCATCTATTTATAGCGGTTTCAATATGTTTTTTTCAACAGACACTCTGTATTTTTAAACGGGAACCAACTGTGCTCTCTACTTGTTGGTTTGTTCCTTTATTTATATGAGGCAGACTTTACGAGCTTCTCAGGAAAAATGAAAAGAAGCTAGCGTTTTTCTTTAACTTCACGTTCCGCTATAAGGATGATATCCCCTCATTAACTGAATAAGTCAAAGTCATATATCCCATCAAACTTCAAAGGAAGGATACCCTTGATACAGTTAAGTCTGCCTCATATCTTGACTTACATATAAAAATTGACAAAGAGTGTCGGTTGAGAACAAGACTTTACAAGAAAAGAGATGATTTCAGTTTTCCAATTGTGAACTGTTCATTTTGTATGTAGCAATATTTCAGCTGAGCCTGAGTATGAAAGATGCATCTAGCTGATACGATATTTCAGAGCTTGAGTTTCATATTATGATATCCTTGATAGTGGTTTGCTGTTTACAAGGAAGCTTTTGCACCAAGGTTTCCTGTAGTTGTAAACTTGGAAGTCATACCTTTCTTCGAAGTTGTACGTCGAGTGAGTTAGTTTATTGGTTGTTATGGAATATGTGTCACAGATGACCACTCCGGCACATGTTCTAATTGTCGCAGCGACACTCGCCTCTTCTTTTTTTCGATTGTGACATCACCGAATTTGCACTTAACACGACTGGTGCCTCGTGTGGGGCAGGATCTGCTTACCCCGAAGCACCAGAGATCTATCCCCGTTTTTGGCGGTGTTCAAGTTGTTCAGTGATAACTTTTTTATGTAGTGTTTTATAAACTATTTTTGTCGGTCTCTCTTCGACTTCTGCACGAGTCTTGATTCTCTATTTTGGTATCTTGTCTCTTTTTTCATGCATGATATACTAGTAACCTGGGACTAATAAATGGTCCCATGCAGTTATAAAAACTCGAAACTGAAGTGAACATGTCAGTGTCCCTTTCAACAAATTTAGGTATATTATACCATGGAAGTATACTTCCATGATTATACACAGTATAGCTTGTCTCTGAAAAAAAATCATATACCTTATCCAGAGATATATATGTATCTGCCTTATCATAACAAAAAATTCAGAAAAAATTTCATACTGAATAAAATTAGTCAGTTAGCTAGTTAGACAGTTATCAAGATAAAAGACCGGTAATTAATTTACATTTTAATAATATTGAGAAAGTTTTTTCTCCCCACTGAAAGGAGGATATTTGACCAGGGTTTTTTAGGGGGCATTTGAGAATAAAAGTATAAGCTAGGAATGAATTGTCAGAGACAGAGGGTGTGAATTTGTCACGTTTTGGTATTTGATTCACTGTATAAAATTAACGAATGCAGAATTTAATATCACCCTCAAAGAAGTAAAAGGCTAAGGGTCCTTTCGTATAAAACAGACCACAATTAGACTTGAGGACAGTTATACTCGGACGTAATATTAAGTCATTCTTATGTGTTATTAAAGTTTTGCTTTTATACTTTTAGGGATATGTTCCTTGTTATTTTGTGGTTTATTTTAGTTTTCGAAACTCAGAAAATTTTAAGGCATTTAAACACTTTTTACACCCTTCAAAACTGTCTAAATATTTGTAAACAACATACTTAAAACGTGTCATGTATTGATTACAAAGGATATATTATTGCAATTATTTGTCACCGTTTCATGAATGAATGAAATCCACACGTTATAAAAAAAAGGGCGGTGCGTTGTGACGTACTACACAATAACCCCGGAAGTACAATCCAGACAATCACCTGCAACAGTGTTGAACAGCGAAAGTACAATGAAAACAAAGATAATTTTTTTGTTAGTTTTAAATTTTATAGTAATTTCTGTTGGACAGGATAATCAACCAGTTATAACATCAGATTCAGATACAGAAAATCCAACAAAATCTTTGGAGAATGGTGTGAAAGGACTTGTAAAAATTGTTCATAGTTTTTTAAAAACAGTGCAAAGTGAAGATTTCGTTGGAAAAACTTCAGGGCCAATTTGTAAGTATTCGTTCAGAATAATGATGTATATAACATAAGTGACAATAGCCCGAGGACAACATGTTGCTTCGATTGATTTTTCAGAAAAATCCAACTAATTACCCAAAATTTAAAAATATTAGAAATGACTGTTGAAAAGAAGAGTTTTGAAGTTGACAAGACATATTTTTGTAGCCCAGATGTTGTCTCTACAGTAAAAGAGTAGCATGATTGCTATTGAAGGTTGCTATACATTATTATATCATCTACATTGTCTTTCTTAACTATGTGTTCAAAGGACAGAGAATATTTTTCAGTTGTCAATAAAGAGGTTGGGAAATTATATGTACATGTTGTAGTCCTATAACATACATGACATAGAACATCGGGTGGCAATATTTACATTTTTGTTTTTTATTTTTAGTATTTTATTTTTATTTTGCTATTTACGATTTTCTGTTTTTAATATCAAGCTGACGCCTTAAATAAAAAGAAAATATCAGCTTAAAAACGTTTAATAATGAAAAGATAATGCGAAGGTATAAACTATAGGACTAGCTATAAGGAATATGGTTCCCAAATAAGTAACTATCCCCCAAATGATAGATGATTTTCTAGGCTAATAACTAGAATTGGAATGGCACACATTCAGGAAAAATACAATATGTTTTCCAGAATATGAATAGTCATAAGCTGATTTACTGAAAAGCTTCACTTCTATGAAAACTTGAAAAAATTGAAAAATTTTAAGGATATACAAGTGTATTAACTGCCATTTTATTTAGAAATACTACTTAGCTGAAATTTTTTAATTTTTTAGCACTTTCAAAGTTTTTCTCAATTGAGGGATTTGTTACTCACTTGCATGACTTGTGGAATAGTTACCCATTTGGCAGGTTGTTCCCAACCTGGTAAATAATTCAAGCTTATTTAACAACTGAACCCAAAAAAGCACAATAGAGATTGTAGCATTAAATTTAAAAGGTAATATTGGGCCCAATCTTTACACAACTAAACATAAGTAGATATAAGAAGATGTGGTATGAGTGCCAATGAGACAACTCTCCATCCAAGTCAAAATTTATAAAAGTAAACCATTATAGGTCAAAGTACGGTCTTCAACACGGAGCCTTGGCTCACACCGAACAGCAAGCTATAAAGGGCCCCAAAAATTACTAGTGTAAAACCATTCAAACGGGAAAACCAACGGTCTAATCTATATATATTATATATAAAACGAGAAACACTTATGAACCACATCAACAAATGACAACTACTGAACATCAGATTCCTGACTTAGGACAGGTGCAAACTAAAAACTAAAGACAAACTTAAAATGTACTTATTTGTGTGCACCTATAATTTTTTATGCAGAAATATCTGTTCTCGTCTTCTCATGTACATGTATATCACATGCATTTCTGTCCCCTCTTGTATATTTTTGCATGTACACAGACATATGTGGTATATATTCAATCTTACTTTTGCACAATCACTTGCATGTTACTTTTTGTAGATCCAATTGAATGACATTAGTCACATACAGTAGTTTAAAATTACCACAACATGTACAAAGGAAATATTTATCTACAAGGTACATGGACATTAATGTCACGAAATCATACTAGCCTTGCCTTTCACCTATTGGAAATTCACCTATTAATTCATATAAAACAATTTTTCTTAAAACATAGTCAAACACTTATTTGAGGGCTAATTTTTAGGTACATGTACACCTATTTGTGATAAGCCTATTTGTCCATTTAGTAAAATAAAATAAATGACATATGGTGATACAAAAAATGTACGTAATGAAGTACAAAAACAATTAGTTAAATAATCCTCCATTATAAAAGAGTTTTTTTGTACTGAAAATAATGGCCCATTTTTGTCATTTAGATGCAGTGTTAACCACATGCCTCCTTTATTATATTTGTAAATTTATGTCAATGTCACAAAAAAATCAGTAAATGTACACAGTTTTTGTTGGTATTGTCATAGCAGTAATAAAATACAAAATTCATGTACAACCACTTAGTTTAAAAGGACTTGAAATACACAAAATCATGTACATGTATAGCTACCGTCTTTTACTTTTTTGTTATGTTTGTTTGATTAAAGAGTTCAGAGAGATTAACCTTTTTAACTTGGACATTTCACTAACATGACTAAGGGTAGTTTAATTTTTTGGGGTAAATTTGATAACTTTTTGATTAAAATGATTTATGATTCTCTTTTTAGGTTTACAAAATGTTCGTTTAAATTCTTAACTGATTTATAAATTCCAGACCGTTTGGGTATTTCTTTTTGATGTTGGATCAATTTGTGGTTTGCATACTCCCAGTTTTTTACATATGAATAATTCAATGATGGCATTAAACTTCCTTGCCTCTCTATAGTTATTATAACTCCAAAAAAAGTTAACCATGTCTGATGACCTCGTACAGCGAGAACCCATTTTTTGGAATGCACAAGAAATGATTGTCAAAGTTTGCCAACATACTTTAAAAAGTCACTAGAGTAACCTGCATTTCCTGAAAAAGTTTTCTCTGATATTTTCACTTTTTGCACATGTTGCAGAAAAATTTAAATGTCTAAAATTAGGAAGTAGAATAGAAGCGGGGAATATGTCAAAGAGACAAAAACCCAACCTAAGAGCAGAACAGCCCAAGGCCACCAATGTGTGTTCAATACAGCGAGAAATGGACATCTCTCTAAACTCAGAAACAGCACTCTTCTATTTGACCCCCATTATCTCTAAGTAGCAGGCCTTTTAGGAAGACTGGTTTTTGGTTGTTAAGACTTCTGACTAACAGCCTCTTGACTACAGACAAAGTATGAATGTGCATAAATGTACATGTACAAAGGTCTGATATTTGGTTCAGATTTGATGAAACAATTTGTACATGTATCAATGCAGTGCACAGTAATATTTGCTCTTGTTAAAACTTGTATACCCAGTAAGTCAATCATGGTAGTAGGAAGTACTTCAGATGCTTGGCATTGAGATTTGTTTGCCTAGCTGATAAGTTATATTTACAAAAGTAGATAATTGGAATAGGTTTGATTGATAGATATTCATCTTTTGATAATTTGATTGTGGATGATATGGAACGTACTGTGTGAATTATGTACCAAATTAAATATGTTTTTTATCTGGATATTAAAAACATATATACATCTTAAATTTTTTTTCAAACATTTACTAACAAGTTGAACTGAAGTGTAAATGTATACTTCTTGTATAGTTTTCTCAGGGTAAGACATTGCCAAAAAGAAAGACTTTCTGTTGGAAGTTGAACTTGGAACACTTAGTTTAATACTCCCTTATATATTGGCTTGGCATTTTTAACCCTTATCTGTGAGCAATACAATGGTTGACCTTTGTAGAACATTATCTGCTGAGAGCATCAAAGATTACCCTGGGTTTTTGATGGGTATTGCTAATTTAGTTTTCTGTGTACTCCTAGTGTTTTGTAGACTTTGATTTTTTTGGTAATGGTATTTTCTGTTTTTCTTTGACTTACAGTTTTTACTTGCAATTGTTCCCTTGGTATTTCCTGCCTCTATTTTTTGTGATTTGAAATGAAATTTTGAATTTTTATTTTAAGAAATGAAAATTCATCATGTTCATATCTCAATACACAATGAAAAATTTCAAACCATGTAAAGTAAAGAGGGAAAAAGTAAATGTACATGTACATATGCTATGCGGTATGGGTTTTGCTCATTGTTGAAGACTATGTTGTGACCTATAGGCTATAGCTGTTAACTTTTATGTCATTTGGTCTCTGGTGGAGAGTTGTCTCATTATCAATTATACCACATCTTCTTATTTTTATGCTCCACCTAGGGGCATTATGTTTTTCGGTCTGTGCATCTGTTCGTCCGTCCGTTTGTCCCGCTACAGGTTAAAGTTTTTGGATGGCTTCTGACAGGTTAAAGTTTTTGGTCAAGGTAGTTTTTGATGAATTTGAAGTCCAATCAACTTGAAACTTAGTACACATGTTCCCTATGATATGATCTTTCTAATTTTAATGCCAAATTAGAGTTTTGACCCCAATTTCACGGTCCACTGAACATAGAAAACGATAGTATGAGTGGGGCATCCGTGTACTATGGACACATTCTTGTTATATATATATGGAATCTCATACATGGTGCTTTGCTAGTACACCATGTATTTAGATATTGGAGACTTCAGTTAAGTTTGTTTGTACAAATACATACTTAATAAATACAGTCTTTTAACAAATTGATCAATCTTGAATTACATTGATGGAATTTGTACAAAATTATAAAACTTCTGAAATGACAATTCTCAGGTTTTGATTTACATGTTGTGGTTGAAAAAGTCTTCAGGTGTCATTCTTCAACATTGCCATAAGAGATACTATAAAGTTCAGGATTTTAACATTTCTTTACCGAGTGAATAATAATGAATTAAAAATATAAAATACAAAATTTTAAAACTTCTGAAATGACAAGTCTAAAATTTTGATTTACATGTTGTGGTTGAAAAGGCTTCAGATGTCATTCTTCAATATTGGGATAATTGATACTTTAAAGTTCAGGATTTTAACATTTCTTTAGTGAGTGAATAACAATAAATTTAAAATACACACTCATCAGGTGAAATCAAAGTAATTCAGATAGCCTTGATGTACATATTTATTATGTGTACATTTGTAGATGAATTGAATAAATGAAGTTGGAGTTAGTTTTCTATCAAATGTAAATTTGGTAAACATGGTAAATAGAGTTGTTTGGGTATGTTTTAGTTGAGTCATAGATTAAAAATCGCCAAGTAACTAATGCAGTATGCACACTAATTGGAAAATGGAGGATTTTGAGTAATAAATTTAGTCATTGGGTATTAGTAAAATAAAGGAAGTTTTCAAACATTGATTATAGTAAAGCCCTTAATTTTGAACTGTCTTCTAGTACATGTAGTACTGCTTTTTAAAAGCCTTGGTCACTTATACAAACCTCCAAGGGTAACTGGGGAATAGAAATATGGT